GTAACACCATGCTGGGCGTTGCCGGTAAGCCACAGCCTCATGGCAATACATAGATTGATAGAGATCAGAGCTAGCCAATAGGAAGTCCTAGTCATGGGCCAATAGTATCATAATTCATACAGTGTCTGTGTGTACATTTGGGGCTCAAGAGCCGCGGGACCTTCTGGGCCAGAAAACTCATGCTTACTGTCTCCTTAGTAACTTAATTCTTGTTGGATGTTTTGGTCACAGCAGTTAAAGAATAATTAATAGCGGCCTAAATGAGTTAATATATGCCAAGTTCTCAGAATAATACTGGAACAAAGAAAGGGATGGATAGATGTCAGTGATTAATATTACCATTCTCAGTTTTGTGGTAGGCTCGGTAGATATAATAGCAATGAAACATTGTCCCAGTTCTAAAGAATGTTATAGTTTGGAAGGGAGGGTCAGCAACAACTACAGAAATAAATATGATTAAATATGTTTGGTATGATCATAGAATTTGAAAAGTACTTTGAGAACATAAATGACTGACTTAGCGTGGAGAATCTATCCAAATTGAAAATAGTTAGCCACCCGAATCACAATACCGTGGTTCATGCACACAAGCCCTCCTTGCCACATGAAATGTGAGGCACGCAGACCTCAGGTCTGGGATTCTACTCTGTGCTCATTCCCAGTTGATCAAATCCATCCACATTCACAGTGTCCAACAGAGCTGCTGAGCTGTGAGTGCCAGACATCTCACAGAGACAACATCTAAATCCACACTCCATCTCTACCCTTTCACACCAGCTTCAAACCCCAGCAGTGTTGTTGTTGCTCTTTTCAAAAGCCTTGTACTGGGGCTGGTGAGGAGGCTCAGTGGGTGAAGTACCTGCTGGGCAGCCGTGAGGACCTGACCCAGAATCTGCAGCACCCATGGGAAAGCCAGGTGTACCTGTAATCTCCATGTTCCTACAAACAGGACAGGAGGGGACCGGAGAATCACCGGGAGCTCCCATGTCAGCCCAGCAGTGGTGATCAGGAGGCCATGTTGCAAACAAGGTGGAAACGAGAATCAGCACCCAAGGCTCTCTGACCTCAACATGTATGCTGTGGCATGTAAGTTCACATGCCTATTCTCTCTCTCTCTCTCTCTCTCTCTCTCTCTCTCTCTCTCTCTCTCTCTCTCTGTGTGTGTGTGTGTCTCTCTCTCTCATACACTCTCACACATACTCACACATATATGCACATACACACCCACACCCACACCGAGACACACTCACTTATACACTCAAACACATGCTGCCACACACATACACACTCACATGCTCCCACACTCACACATACACACACAAACACATGCTCACAAACTCAGACACACACACAGAGAGAGTACAACTGAGCAAGACACCATACTTTCAGCTCTAAGAAGTGGTCAGAGCTCTGACAGCCCAGCCCAAAAGCAAGTTAGTAAAATTTACAGCACAGATGAATAAATGTCAAGTATGTCCTAGGACTTTCTACCATTATTGAAAACTTTGCTTTTCTTGTACCTTGCAGAGATATCTTCCTTTTCTCTGAGACCACACGGTAAAACGCAGCCATAACTAGCACCGTGGAGCTTGTGGGCAGTCTGCCTGGTGTCGCTTGTCTCCTCTGGTAGCTCTGTGCTCCTTTGCTCTTGAAGTCCCAGTGCAAAGCTGGTGTTCCCTCCACATTTCAGATTCCACCTGCTCTCTCGTCACCCAGAACATGCCTTGTTTCATAAATTCTCAGCTTATTTTTATCACATGAACTACATTGTGCAACACTCAATTTCTTTTCCATTCTCTTTTTTCAAAAATAGGAACCAATTTGATTGGATGTGATAGCAGGAGAGGCAGAAGTGTGGCAAATTTTTAAATGGTGAGAAATCTGTCTCCGCTACCTGGGTTCTGAGAGGCAGATTGTGACTCCTCTGCTCACTCTATATTGAACTTGCCAAAGCTAGATGAATCGGCAATCTCCATTGACTTGTCTACCTGTCTACTTGCCTCCAAGTCAATCTAGTGTTCATGAATTTGCCTATTTTATGTTTGTTCTGGCCATTCAGATTAATAACTGAAAGGTTTATATAAAGGTACATAAGAATAGACAGATACCCTTGAAATTTCAAACTTCTTAAGTATTTTTGTTTTAAGATGGGGAGTAAGCAGCATTTCCTCTGTGTCCTGGCAGCCACTCCCAAAGTAACCATACAGAGCTTAATATTAATTATAAATGCTCAGCCAATAGCTCAGGCTTATTACTGACTAGCTCTTACAATTTAAATTAACCATCTCTATTAATCTATGTGCTGCCCTGAGGCTAATGGCCTTTACCTCTCCCCTTCATGTGCTGCTTCCTTTCTGTCTGTCTGGCAACTCCTCTGACTCTGCCCTTCCTCTTCCCAGCTTCCTCTGTGCCTGGCTGTCTCCCCTATACTTCCTGTCTAGCTACTGGCCAGTCAGCTTTTTATTAAACCAGTCCAAATGACAAATCTTCACAGTGTACAAAACAGCAGGGTCTCACTATGTAGTCCTGACTTGGCTTGCTATGTAGACAGCTCTGGCCTCAAACTCACAGAGATTTACTTGCCTGTGCACCCCAAGCTCTGGGATTAAAGGCAAACCCCTTGGATCTTAGTGAGGCAGGGAGGCAACGCTGAGAAACAAATCTGTACATTGATCATCCCTGATTCTGTAGCATAAAAATGCATAGCAAATACCCAAATATAGACTGCAAGTTCCCTGAAAATAGCAGACCCAGGCTCGAACCAGTACCTGAAACACAGTAGGTGCTTAACAAAGTAGATACTTGATAAACGTATGTTGAATCTATAATCTATTCCATAGTGTGTTCATTAAGTTTTCTACACACACACACACACAGAGAGAGAGAGAGAGAGAGAGAGAGAGAGAGAAAGAGAGAGAGAGTGTTCTGAGCCCTTAACAACCATTCCTTATCTTTTTGACCTCCTCTGGCCCAACCTTGTCCATTTGAGTCCCAAGCTAGAATCCCTCCAAGAGTTTCCCCATCCTAATCATATACTCGAAAGCCAGATGCCTTGAAGTCCTTCAAATCAAGCTCAGAATTAAAAATTTAAATATACTCTACTCATTTTGTAACTAATTTTGTGACCAGCTAACTGCAATTCCGGGGGGGGGGGGCGGCATAAGCTTAATGAGTCTGGTCAGACACACCATGTAACAGATGTCCAGCGCGCCTTCATGAGCTTAAGTCATAAATATGATGTCTCTGTTTGGCAGGGCAGAATATATGAGAAGGGTTTTATCGGTCACTGGGCAACTTGCTAGATTGGGGAAGAACAGTCTGAGGAAAGCAGGAGCTGGGATTCCAAAGCAGCCTTGGAGAAACACAGATAATCTTCGTGCAGTGATTCATCAAGTTGCTCCCTTTGTTTCATTAATTTGAGTGTCAAGTGCAGCCATACAACGAAGAATTGCCAAGACCCGATAAGATTCTACTCCGGCTGCTGCTCTTTCTACCCAGACAACAGGCACCATTCATGCCCACAGCACAAATTGAATAAACAGCTAACTGCATGGCTGGCAATGTTGGACAGCACTTCGAGATTCTTGTGTTTTCCTTGAAAGGCTCCATAGTGAGTGTTTCTGTCTCCTGGATGCCTGTTACTGAACCAATCACTTTAACTTTGCTAATAGAGTTTGGAAGTAGGCCTTTTCAGTTAAAAATAGTCCCTGTTGCATCATCTGTCCAGTGGTAGAGTAGGGAAGATTAAAAAGCGATTGCAATCTCTCTGCTGGCCCCAGAAAAGCTCACGCTGAGCCCCTGGTCCAGGTGGCCTGAGGATCATCCCTGTCTCAATGTGATCTTTAGTTTCAGACTGCTGCAGGCCCAATGTGACAATGGCACTGTGTTCACCAAATGACTTCACAAGAAATACGTTTCCAGCTAAATTGGATGCTTAGCACATGCTCTCACTGGATGTGGGGACCCAGGTGCCCTGAGAACAGGCCTCTGGTGTGGCCTCCACACCGAACAGTGGTCAGGGTTTTTTTTCACCCTAAGTTCTGAATGTGAAGTTGTGTACACCGGTGCATTACACAACACAAGTGAAGCGTCAGGTTTCATGATGCAATACCATTTTTTATCTCCGGCAGCTAGAATGTCTTCACTGAAATTAGAAGACCCTACAGTCTTGGTTAATCACATGGCTAGGACGCACTGACTACTTCAAAAACTTTACAATCACTTAAATGAGCACCAGGGACCTCAAAGGTTGAGTAGAAATATAAATTGTGTTCTTGGAAGCAAATGATGGATGAAGTCATTTACATGAAAGAGTACGGTCCAAAGGAAGCATGAGAGTAACGATTTGTCAAAACAAAATTAAGGAGGGAAAGGACATTGGAAAACAACTAGAAATTGCAGTGACATCATTTTCTCAGGAAACCAATCCCATGGTAGCGTTTGCCAAGCTGTAAACACGAAATTCAAGTATAAATGGATCTATTGACATTTGGTAGGTTAACGTGATTTAATTAAAATCACCAAACTGAAAATTTGGTTAGTAAATTTTCAAATGGCCACCGTGTTGAGGATCAAATTGGGTTCTGAGTTCTTTTAGCTTGATAGCTCTATTACAAGATAATACCTCTCCGAACCAAGAAATGGGTACACCCTTGCGGTTAACTGTCTGCCCCAGAAAGCCCACTTCTCTGAAAAGATGGTTTGGGGGCTGGGAGGGGGACTGCAGAGGACTCTAGGACCCAGCAGGCGGCGGCAGGCGGCGGTGTGTGGATCGCTGAGAGACTCGGAGGGTCCGGCTCAGTTTTAATTCTCCTCTAATCTCTGCAACAGCAGCGCTTCCTGGTCCCGCAGCTCCTGCTCCGGCTCAGCAGCCAGCCCGCCAGCCTCTCGGCGAGCATCGAGCCGCCGCCTCCGCCCAATCACCCACCATGGACAGCCTCCAAGAAAAAGTGGCTTCGGACGCGCTTGCCTGAGAATTCCGCACAAAAGAGGCGCTCAAAATGAAGACCCTGATGGTGAGTCTGTTGTTCCAACTCCGCCAGGCACAGGCAAGGACCCCCGGGGCTCTGTGTCCCCGGGATGGCCAGAGAAGCCTGGCAGGTGCCTAGCCCTGTGGCAAGAGGTCGCCTGTCATGGGTGACAACTTTCCACAGGGCTTAGAACCCAGCATGAGACTAGAGATGCCTGGGCTCCTGGATCCTTGGCGGGTGATGCAAGGGGCGATTGGAGAGCAGAAGAGCAGGCTGACCTCTCCGGAAAAGAGGGTGCCCCACTGCCACTGCGGGACACAAAGTCAGAGGGGCGGGGAGGAGGGACCATCACCGACTTTCTTGGTTTCCTTGTCGGATTTCAAACTTAGCGGGGATCGCTGCGGGAAGCCCCAGGGGCCCAGGAGAGATGGTGTGCCGAGGGCTGGGATCCCAGCAGCTCAGGTGGGGACCAGACCCTCCTCCCCAAAATGCCCTGGGCGGGCGCGCTCACCCTCACCGCAGGTCACCGCGCGCCACCTGCCCTCCGCTGTGAGACGCGGGCGGGCTGTGATCGGTGGCCACGCAGGAGCATCCCCGGCAGGTGTGCTGGGCCATGTCACCTCTGCTCCTTGGCTGCGGGAGTCTGGGGCGGCTGCCTGGGACCGGCGCGGGGTGTCAATAAGGAGCTGAGAGCTTCCCAGCTGCACGCTCAGTCGCTGTCTGTCTTCTCTCTCTCGCCCGCCCGCAGCACCACGGTCTGGCAGTGTGTTTAGTGCTTACTACCATGTGCACCAGCTTGTTGCTCGTGTACAGCAGCCTCGGCAGCCAGAAGGAGCGGCCCCTGCAGCAGCAGCAGCGGGCGGGGGCCAGCAGCGCACAGCCAGTGGAGAGCAGTCCCCAGCTACGGAGAACCGCCCCCGCTGGACCCCGGCAGTTGGATGGATACCTCGGCGTAGCGGATCACAAGGTGACAGCTTGTGCGCCATCCTGCCCGCCACCGCGTGGCCTGGGCTCCCTGTACACCTGACTGGTCCTCTTTCCCAGGGCGGTGAGGCACAGGAGAAGGTGTTTGCTAGTCAGGAGGCTGGGATGCTGGGATGCCGGTAGTGTGCACCAGTTGGGGCAGGGAGGGCCGTGTGCTAGCTGTGAATTGCTGTTCTGAGAAGGGTGCAAAGTTCATCAGGGAATAGGAAGGAGGTGAGTGGATCCTGGACTGGAATCCCAACTCGTAGTAATAGCAGCTGCAGATGGGTGTCCAGTTGCTGGAGCCCAGGGTTTTCCAGCCGAGCCCTGCGCGGGTGAGAGGACATGGGAATAGTGCAGAGACCAGCCCCAGGATTCCTCTGACACCGCCAGAGGGGAGAAGAAAGAGCTCCTGCCACAACCTGTCAAAGGTTCCCCTCTCATCTCTGCTGGGGACTGCTCAGGCTGAAAGGCCCCAGCCCCTGGGGAGCCCAGTTCTGGCAGGCACAGAGGCCTGGAGGCATCCTGGGCTCCCATTGGCTTGAAAGCCTGTTTTCCTTTGCCTTCCAGGGAGCTACTGCATGGCTTGGCTAATAATTAATAAGCTGGGTTTTTTTTTTCCCTTTCAACTGAACCCCCTTTCCATAGACTAATAAATCTCTGGTTTCAGTGTAGGAGCCTCTGGGAGAAATTGAATCAAGTTTTCCGACTCCAAAGATATTTTAATACAGCTTAAATCTATCTCTGATTATTTGAAATTGCTAGCATGTTTTTATTAAAACACACACACATACACAACTTCCATTCCGTGTTTATAAACCTACTGGATGGTTTGAAATCTCTTAACTCTTTTATGTTGTATTTTACTGCATTTTATGATTGTGAACCAAGGTAATATTTGCAGATGTTCCTTCTGTGTGAGAAGACTGCTCCTGTCACACATGAGTAAGTCAGACTTTAAGTGACAATCACAATATTGCCACTCTCCTGCGCTGTGTGGAATGCTCAGATGTGAGGAATCCAATGGGATTCCATGCAGGACTCAGCTCTCCCATCCCTGAACGCTTGATGAGATTGGGGCCTGTCCTGAGACCTGAATAGCGAGATACACTGATGAAATTGGCGCGGCTGCAAACAGTGCTGTGCAGGCACTGTGGGGGGAGCTAGCAGCTCTGTAAAAAGCAAAGACTGTTTCTCTGAGAATATGAAACTTGTACTGGAGAGACTTTGGGGAAGTGGACAGGAAGAGGCTGAGGAGAAGGCCATTTGAGGCAGACGGAAAACTGCAGAGGTTTAACAACTACAGCGTTCTGTGCCTTGGCTGTGGATTGATTGTCTACTCCGGGTCTGCCCGTGCAGGCTGCTGATGAGGGCTGTAGTTGTGGGGAAATTTAGTCCTGGCTTCTGGCTGGGGGTGGATGTGGCCTTCTGTGGGGGTCACTGGCATGTGATGAGCCAAGGGTGGCGCTGGATTTTCACACTTGTTGTTTAGTGAGAACTCGCCTCAAAATTCGGAATCATTCACGAACAGGGAACGTCTAAAGATCAACATCCTGCAAGCTCTGACTGACATGGGAAGATATTCTAAATACTTTGTTCCTTCTGTAACCCATGTTTAGCTGTCCCCAACTAGGAGGACTGAGAGCTTAACAATCATCTTCAAGAAATGCTTATTTAAACAGGTGTGATGATGGCATTTTCAGTGTCTCAGAGCCTTATGAGGTCAGGGTGAACAGCAGCCTTTCCACGTTTTAAGAAATGCTATGTGTAAATGGAAATTCTTGGCAGAAGGTAGTCTTCTTTGTCTAAATTACCAATATATATGCAATTCAATCCTAGAAAACCATCATCTCCCAGGGCATGGTGGTATGCACACACCAACCCTCTGTAGGCTGAGGCAGGAGAATGGCAAGTCTGAGGTCAGCCTGAGTTACATAGGTTATCTGTGTCAAAAATCCAAAAGAGGCAGGAGAGGAAGGAAAAGGGAAAAGAGAAGGGAGGAACAGAGAGAGAGAGAGAGAGAGAGAGAGAGAGAGGAGAAAAAGAAGGGGGAGGAGGAAAGGGGAGGAAGAAAGACAGAAAATGGAAGGAGCATTGTGAGCTCTTGTTAAATGATAGGCGGAGTCAAGCTGCTGAATATTAAGATTAAAATATGGTAATAAGCAGGGAGGGAGGAAAGGAAATGGGGAGGAGGAAGAGAGAGATGAAGGGAAGGCGGGAGGAAAGAAAGAAGGACATAGAGACGGAGGGAGAGAGGGAAAGGGAAAGAAAGAAGGGGAAGAGGAGAAGGGGAGGAGGAAAGAGAAGAAAGGAGGGAAGAAGGAAGAAAAAGCAGGGACTGAAGGGAGAAAATAACGAAGGGGGAGGGGAGAAAGGACGGGAGGAAGGTAAGGAGACCCATCTCACCAGTTCCACTCCACGGTTGACCACAGCACACATGATGCCAAGCAAAGCAACAAGTGCCAACCCCAGGCACAATATGCCGGTAGGTCATGCCCCTTTGTCCCAAGAAGCTAATCAAAGGCCTCTGATGGCCCTCTTGACGGCTCCTGTGGCTCCAGCCAGCAAGTGGACAGTTTTGCTCGAGATCTTCCACAGTGTCTATAGGCAGGGTTTGCACTCATTTGCTAGGTTGGTGCTAGAGTGGAACTTTTCTCCAGCAAACACAGGAGGGAGCAGAGAACAAGAGCTCTGTCCTTACTGCACAGCCACACGGCACTATGTCACTTTCTTCTTCTTCGCCCTCATATCAGGGACTCGGAAAAATTACAGATACGCTGAGTGAGACAACCACAAAACCATATGCATACGTAGTGTTCACATTTAGTTACACTATGGTATTCGCATTATAACTCCAAAATTAACTTCAACAGGTGGGCCTAATCCCCAGCACCTGGATTTTACAAATTAAAGGCTGTCTGTATTGATAGTCTCATCATCTTTGACAGTGAACTAGTTACTATTGAGATCGAATCATTGTGTGCTCTTGTTACATGATAGACGGAGTCAGGCTGGTGAATATTAAGATTAAAATATCCTTTTGCTCGGCCATAGGCCCTTCTCCCTCTCCTCTCTCATTCACAGAAAAGGTGACAGCAATTACAGTCCTGACATGAATATGCACACAGAAGGCCACTCCGTTGCTGACAGTCATGAAGGAAGTTGCTTTTCTGCTGAGTAGAGTCACCCCCTTTCGGGATCTCTCTTTTCTCCAACTCATTTACACTTCACTGGGTGTGTGTCACAGCAATCCCTGCATCTGTATTCAGAGGTTACTCTCTGAGTTGTCAGTTTTGGAAACCATTGATGACTAACACGTTTGACCAGGTACAAGAGAAGAAACCAAATTTCATACCCTTGGGAAACTCCCTTACTTAGTATTCTAGCATAATACAACCAAACATAATCTATGGACACACAGAGATTCATAGAGAAACAGACACAGACATTCACATGCACAGGCATGCTCCTTTATCTATCTATCTATCTATCTATCTATCTACCTACCTACCTACCTACCTATCATCTATCTATGTATCTATCATCTATCTACCTATCTCTTTCTCCCCACATTCAATCAAGAAGCTGTCAGAGGAAAGACCTGAGTCTTCAAGCACCAAGATTGGAGACAGAGAACTCAATTCTGTTTCTAGTCCTGGTCTTTCTAGATAGATAAAGTCATTTTCCATCCGGTTGACCTTGGGAATTACAATTGAGCAGACCCCATTCCCAAGGCACAGGCCCTTATCACAGAAAGCCCACCTGTCGCCTGCCCTGCCCTTTCCTGTAGAGGATAAGGAAAGGGCAGTAAATGACAGTGAGAGCTGAGGCCAGCAGCTATGTCTGAAATTCACAAGCAGCCTGGGGATGCAGTTGTCACATGCCAAGAGTGTGTCTGTACCTTGTGCATTCCTTCCTTGGGCAATGGGTTATATGATACATTTTGGTAACTGTGCTGTTACTATTAATATGAAGATGTCCCTTGGAAATATGGACAAGTCAGTTCAGCAACTGAAAAGTAATCCAAAGAAAAAGAGGATGCCATATAACTTATTTCAAAGTTGTGGATGAAGGCTCCCTCTTTAGGAAGTCTATAAACACTTTGTGACAAATTGACATCATTTAAGCTCTATTTGATGATATTTGAGTAATCCAAGCAGTGGTAAATCATTTCATTGTCCAGAAAATTCAGAGTAAGCTAATTTTCAGTGCTCAGGTGTTGGCACACACAGTCTGCCAACAATGATGAAATTACAGAGCAAACGTAGTCATGAGGTCAGCCAGCCTTTGTGAGTGAAGAGCTTCAACAATGCCGGCTGGTGAGCTGGCTCAGCAGATGAAGGCACTTGCTCACATGAACTGTGTTCCATCCTCAGGCCCCACATGGCAAAAGGAGAGCAGGGGCTCCCACAAGCTGTCCTCTGACTTCTACATGTGAACCACAGTGCACGAGTGCACGCACATGTACGTATGCATGCACACACACACACACACACACACACACACAGAGACACATGCATGCACACATGCGCACATGCACGCACATACCAATAAAAGTAAAAAGATGTTTTTAATTTAAAAGTTTCAACAATATGGCTACTTTTTAATAAATTTTATTTACATTAGAAACAATCTTATTTTACATATCAATCCCAATTCCCTCTCCCTCCCATCCTTCCATGCCCCCCAACGACCCCCATCCCATCCCCCATCCACTCCCCAGGGAGGAATCATCAAAATCTGTCAAGCCATTTGGGGCAGGGCCTATGTCCTTCCCTGTGTATCTAGGCTAAGAGAGTATCCATCCCTCCATGGGAAATGGGCTCCTGGAGTCCATCCATGCACTAGGGATACATCCTGGTTCCAGTGTCAGAGGCTCCATAGACTGCCCAGTGATCCTAGCTGACACCCAAGTTCAGGGGTCCTGATTTGGTCCTATCTTGGTTCCCCAGCTGTCAGACTGGGGTCCATGAGCTCCCACTTGCTCAGGTCAGCTGTTTCTGT